TTTTTGTTTTTTTCTAATACAGAATTTTTCGTGTTTCTTTTTACTTCAAAAAAATCTCACGTCTGTTTTTTTATTTCAGTCTCATCGTATTGTGGTAAATTTTTTTTCTTTTCAATTACAGATGTAGAATAAAGAGAATAAAAACGAAATATTCTATCAAAGAGCACGTTTGAAAGTTTAAAGGTGAATAAAAACAATGGGATTGAGATCGAATAAAAAAAAAAAAAGAAAAAGAATGAACTTTTAAGCTTTGTTAGTATTTCTTCAGCTCGTTGGTTATCTAATGAGAGTGAAAATCAACATCCTGAGTATACATGGATGGCACACCCAACGATTAACTCATCATGCTCATTGTTCTATTTAGCTCGTTGACCACGTGTCAATAGGATTGATACATTGAACGGAAAGAAGCATGTACATACGTACAATACATCATCAAATTAAATAAGCAAGATATCTTTTTTTTTGTATATATTTCGTATGTATGTATGAAATGAAAACGATAAATAAACATATCATTTAATCATGTTCAATGTTAGAAATTGTTCTTTCTTGTTTTTTTCTTTTTGTATTTTCATACGAAACAAAAAAATTTTCATTTGTCACTTGTTGTCGGCACAGGAAATAACGAATATTTAGATAATTGAAAGAAAATTATATCGCAGATTGTTGTCGCGCGCATATTCAAAAGTTGATAAAAGAACGTCTGTGCATATTGACGTAAAGATGATCTGACCAAATACTAATAAAAAATTTATTATTTTTTTTCTTCTTAATTCTATTCAATACACTTGCACAAATGCCGCTGTGTATATTTATTGACTATCGGAAATCATATCATCAATAATAGTCAACACAATCAGCAACATATCTATGCAGTCAAATCAATCATTATATCAATGAGTCAGTATAAAGAAAAAGAAGCGCAAAAAAAAAGAAATAAAAAGTTCAATGAACCGTAAAAAACTATGCGTGTGTACTGGTTCATATTAGTTACGAAATAAAATAGAAGAAAAAAAAACTTGAAAGGAACGATGGGAGTTATTCGACAGTTTGTGGAAAAATTCTGTGTTGTAATAACGATCATTCTTGTTTACGAGAATGCACTTATTTTTTATCAACATCTCTTTCCATATTGGTGGTCTCATGGACTTTATCGACGATTTTTCTTTCATTTAATTATTGGACATTGGTTATTAATTAATACAAGTATGCATTATTATTTTGCAACCACAAAATCTCCAGGTTTTGTTATTGATTTAAAAAAAGAATTATCAACTCAAGAAGAATTAGGTTATACAAAATGTTTCAAATGTGATGTGATGAGACCACCGAGAGCACATCATTGCAAAGTTTGTCAAAAATGTGTCTTTCGTTATGATCATCATTGTAAGTGTATTCGAGCAAATAAATTTTCTTGAAAGAAGTAAAAATATCAAAATATTTATAATCGATTATTTCAAAATTAAATCTTATTTAGAAAAAAAAATGAAAAGATATGATATCCACATAGGTTTTGGGAAATGTTTAATCTATTATATTTAATCAGTGAAGAACGATATATTCATATTAAGTACTGTTTTATAAAATCTAATTTTTCTTTCATGATGAACACGTTATATTGTACTTTCTACTAACGATAAAATGCCTGTCTATCGCAATTTCTTGATATAGAATATACACTTTACTATTAGAACAAACTTACGTAGATATATTAATATTACAAGAGTGAGCGTTTATAATGTAAATAAAAATTGAATAAAAACAAACGAAGTGTCCATATGTCATCGTAGTTGTTTTAATACATTCTTGAATAGTATTTGTTAATAGGACCATTTCATGCCTCATCAATTGCATTTGTGAGTTCACTTAAAAATATTTTTTTTAAAATTTTTATTTAATAAGTTTTCATATTGGCTCAGTAAATTTTAAATAAAGATCATCATCTAATCATTGACATAATTCAATGTGATATGCTTAACTAAAGAATATAGTTGAGGGAGTACGAAGTTGCCTATCAAGAAATATTTTATTTAAGAGTTTACCAAAATAGTTTCAACAAAATCCCAGCATTTTGTATATTTCTATTAAATTTATCTTTGCATTTTTAAGCATTGACTCTTATATTATTCATCTATGTCTACATAAAGTTGTCCTAACTGTAAACTCTATAGTTTGTATAAAAAATACCATTCGCAAGTTTTTCGTCGTCGACAATTTAATCGAATCAAACCACTAAATAATATTGGTTAAATATTCCAAAACTGAGAAAATTTATAATTTAATTGCAGGCCTGGTCTGCGACAGTAGGCTTGACAAGTGGGGTAGGGGTGTTGCAATTTTTTGAGAGAATATCATGCCTCCGCCATTGATTAGGCCGAATCGTTCCTGCTTAACTGTTTTTATTATTCAAAATCAAATAAATTATTTATTTTCATGGATTATCGTTGTTTCTTGTAATAGTTTTCAAATTTATTTTTTTTATTTAGGCCCTTGGATAAACAACTGTGTTGGCTATCAAAATCATGTACATTTTCTTTTATTTTGTATCTATATGGCAATGATCGCTGCTTATGCCCTTATTGTCGGACGACGACAATTTCAACTAGTAATGTTTCATGATCAAATACTTTTCGGTTTATTCGATCCTATCCTACGACCAGAAGATCTCATTCGAGCTATACTAGAACATCAAACTATAGGTCCTATCACTGGTGTATTGACACTTTTTCTTTTTCTTACCAATTTTGTTGCAATGGTTCTTGTATTAGGTTTAACTATATGGCAGATGAGTCTTATTACTAAAGGTCAAACATGTGTAGAAGAAAAAATTGATAAATCCATTATCAATAATTCTGTAAAAGGACAAAAACAACGACCATATGATTTTGGGTGCACATTGAATTGGTCGATATTTTTTGAAGTAAATAGGATTAGTGAACTTTTAATTCGATTGATGATTCCTTTACCTTTTCAACCAAAACATGATGGTACGCGATGGATATCAAAAGATGACAAATGAATCAAGTTTTCTATTATAATTGATTTTTTCTAGTTTAGTTTATCACAAAATAAAATAACATACACTAGTATAATACTAAGGATAACATGAAAAATTAAATAAAGATAAAATGATCAAATAGAATCCATCTGAATGAGCATGTATGGTATGAGACACGACTGTTGCTTCGTTTGTAAGTGTCTACGATTGGTATCAAAGGTACAATTGAAGTTATTGCTGAGCTCAAAATTCTACTTGTGGTTGAGATTGAAACTAAAGTTGTATTTATAGATCTAGTAGTATTATAAAAGAAACAGAAGTAGAAATAACATATAAGCATCGAATGCTTACTCGGTTGTCTCTGGTGATGTATGATTATATTCTCTTGTTTCAATATAAAAAGAAATTTCATAATAATGTCTGAGTACTTTTCCGATGTTGTTTGTTGAAGTAATAGCAAATGTCATAGATCCACTTGTTACATTACTGATAATGCTAGTATTGTTCTCTTCTAGCCACGTACTTATATCGGTATTTCAAGTATCATGAATGGAATTTATGTTAGAAACAATATGTATGCGACAGATCTCATTAATACTAAGTAATTGTATTATACCAAGAACACACATGTGAATTAGTAGAGTTTCTTGAGCTCGATTATAGATTGTGAATGTAATAGAAGTTATTGAATTGTTTGTAGATGTATATGGTTAATTAATAATTGAGATCAAAGTTGAGATTAGTGAAATAAGAGCATTACTTTACCGTTCTATTATTGAATTGTCTGTTAATTTGATTTTAGTCAGTATACGAAAATCAGCATCGAGTATTACCATAGGTAAAATAAATGATCCAGTTTTGGTGATATTCAATGCATACAAAACTGATATGGCTTCACCGCATTTATTAACCAAATCAATAGTAGCCGATGGAATAGAAGTTCGACAATTGTTATATGATATTACTAACACAAGATCTAATTGATTGATAGTAGGTGCAGAAAGTAAGGACCTATAGACATTATTCGATTCGCGTATAATCCGTTGACTTAGCATTGTATGGTATGTCGATGCAGTCGATATGTTCGAAGTTTCTGGAATAGTTATCTTGATAGTATGAGAGTATGATTGATTGCTTAAAAGATGTCATAAACGAGAACGTGTATTTTTGATGATATATAATTTTAAAAAGATCCCAGCAGCAACTAGCACTGCAGCAGCTGATACTCCATTGAGATCAATTAAATGGAATGAATCAAAAGTTGATGTGAAAACAACTCTTATAGATGTTAAATCAATATGTATGCGAGTGATATTGAAATCGACAGCAAATATTCTATTAATCATGCCTGGCCCGGTAATACTAAGTAATAACTTTTATGGAAATAAATGATGAATAACAAAGAGTGTTGCTCGATTAACATCTCGGTATGTATTTAACCCAGTTGTTGATTCACAAGGAGCTGTAGCTAGATCATCATCTATTGAACCATCTAGTATTTTATCGATATCTCTTTGTTGCTGACGCTTTCCAAATACTGATGTTCTACCAACAGAAAACGAGAAAATTTGGAATTTTAGTTCAATAGCATGTGCGAATACTTTCAGTCGAAGATAAACATCTTTAGCTGATGCATCAGTATACGTGTTAATAATTGAATTTATTTCACATACTTGAAGAGCTTTGTTAACGCCATTATAGTATAATTCAGGTTCATCACCATCATCAACAGTCATGTTCGTCATTTTATCTGGAAAAAAAACTCAACGTCAGTTATAATTATTAGTGGATCCCATTCAGGACCATTAAATGGTAACAAAATATAATTTGCAGATCGAAATAATGAATTATCGTCACCTGTAAATTCTATTATACCAATAACTATTTTTTTAACTAGTTCAATAACTGGCGACATATTGCCAGTCGTACCAATTGCAATACCAAGATTGTTTGAATGCAAACTTAAAAATTGACCAAAAGTATCATTAGTTACAGTTGACTACAATAATTCCAATCGTTGAATTATAGCAATAAGAGTAATTTTAACTGCAAGGATATGAAATGATCCATGATCAGAATTTTCATCATCTTTGTTAATATCAAAACCTAGAGCATCTGTTTGAGTTGTTGGACCAAGTAGACCACCATGACTACATTTACCTTTCAATTTGAAAGATCTTTAAGGAATACATGTCAAACTATCCACTTCTCAAATATTGATCACTATAAGCCTTAGATAAAATATTTCTCTCAGCACAACTTTGTTCTGTACGATTGTCACAAGTATCAAGGTGCCATAGTACATATAAGACCGATGTTGTGCTGGTACCAATTGCTTGATTTGATATTTGCCATCCGAGTTCTATTCAATTCGAATGAGCATAAAAATCTTGTAATGTATGCATAGTTTGACCAAATGATTGACAAACATCAATAACTGATGATAAATCAGATATTAATTTTGTTTGAACATCAGCAATACGATTAGCAATAATTATTGATCCTTCAGTAAATACTTCATGATCAAGATGAGTGAACGGTAAGGTGAATTCTTCCAATTTAACAGGTATATTAGATGTACACACACAAGATTAATATCAGAAGGAAGTGTCGAAATTATACCTAATCGACGACTTTCTTATTGAATTTGATTAAACATTGTTTCAATATCTTCACACAGTTCGATGCTACTAGTTCAATCATCAATATTAGTAGAACTATGAAATGATTTGAGATATTTTGCTGCTGTTATTAATAGAGCATATTCAATTAAACCAAAATGTGTCGTTTTTCCATGTTTCGACACACCTGAATTGAAGCTTCTACTGCTTTCAAACAATGATAATCCTACTAATGTTAATACTAAAATTGATGGATACATCAGTTGTGAGAAACCGACTCACGTTAATGTACATATAGATATCTATGTTTTATTTCCTGATTAAGTTTCAGTGTATTCAATAAATAATTACGATTTTCTCTGAAAGTTTCATAATTCTGTATATTGTTTTTTTTACAATATCAGCATATCTTTGTCATTCGCTATTTTTGTTACGTAAAGACTGGTAAATAATTAAAGTTAATGTAAACTAGAAAGAGAAATATAACGGTTGGTAATTCGAGTTTCAACAGTCACACTTATTAGATAATCTATTCATTCTTAAGAAATTTGTTTTTCTATCATTACAAATTTTACGGTCTATGGCAAAATCACGATTGGTTTTAATCGAAATTTTGATATTGTCTATTGATCTTCTTCAATACTCTACTTCTTAAATGTTTCAATCAAGAAATGAACAGCATACTTTTAAACTTGAAACTGTTTTTTGGCATCCAAAGTTGAAATTTTGATATCATGCTTACATAACATCCCTCCTTCTACATAATGGCTAATAATTTTACAATAAAAGAAACCAGACAACAGCAGAACAGTACAGAAGTAGTACATGAAGGTTGTATGGGATTTCCGTGCTAATAGCATTAGCATCCATTTTTTTCTCGAGAAAAGTTTAAGTAATCAATTTTAGCAGTATTAAGCATTTCGCAATGAAAAAGATATAATAAACATCAATTAGAACTCTACATTTTGAAGAAACTCTAGGGGCTATATGGATAATTGCTTCAGATATTATATGTATGCATCAAACTTCAAGTATGAGGCACGCTTTCGTATTTTTCTCATACTCACTCACTGTCTTCTTCTGACCTTTACAGAAAGTGCAGGAACCGACATAGTTTCGTTTATATGATATATCAAAAAACTATCCTCAGAGTTTCTAGGAAAAGTGGAATATCATTTCATATATATTATATTTTTAAAATGTCACTTCTATTACTTCTTTGTCTATTAAACCTCTTTATACTTTTATCGGATGGTATTGACATTGAATTTCATTATCTTCTGTGATGGCTAGATCGTTTTTTTTAATTTTGATTAATATTTTCGTATTTTTCAAATATTAATCTTGCTCTCATTCATTTTTTTCTGGATTATTCTTTTTCTTTCAGTAATTTAAGAACAATTACTTTATACTATGAAGTACGAGTAAGTTATCAGATGTTCTACGTGTCTAAATTTTTGGAAGTAATGGTACAAATATATTATATCTAAAAAGCTAAAGATCTTACTTTGATTAAGATAAAACAGTTAATTGACAGTTAATCTTATTTAGACGCGTTTGTAAATTTAATATTTGACTACTATTCATTTGAAAAAAAGAAGAACTGTCAGTATTTTCTGAATAAATTTTAATAGAAACATGATAGAAAGCTATAGTTATAACCATTACAAACAGATAATCTAGACGCAAAAACACTACAGGAAATTTGATGGATCAGAACTGAACTAATCAGATCAATTCTTGATGAACAATTCACAAGCGATATTCTGAATTCATTTTTCAGCAGATCTTACCTCTTAATATGAGCAATAGATAGGAAAAATTATTCTCTTTCGATCTACGTAAGTCCAACATTACTACCTTGTTGCGTCTTTGCCACTATGAATCTACTTAATCTACAATGGTAATGGAAAATCATCACTATGTCATTTATTAAAATTATAATCAAATAAGCAAAGATAATTGCTTAAATGCTTATTAGATTGTAAACGACGATAGATAAGAGCCAAATGTGTTATATGAATCACTTATTGTTGGTTGACAACGAAATTTAACTGGGTAGTGTTGTCCTGTCACATAAAAACAAATATATACGATGACTATCATTAATTATTAAGTGTTGACTATGTGCACTCCAAGTGTCTATTAATAGTTTAGATAATCGAATACTCATTTCAAGATCTAAACCACGGTTAATGACATCAATAACAATCGTACTCAATAAAATAAATCTATTATCTGAACGACGAAAGAAAAATACTTCATAATAATGATCATTTAATCGTAACATATTGGATATTGATTAATTGAAAGTGTAGACTTTAAAAGATTTTGAAATATTTTAAGTTTGTCTAAATGAACAGTAACAGCAGTATTACTTTTGTTACCATTGTTATTTTTCTTTGTAATTGGTGATGATTCAGGTCGAGAAACACGACAAAGGCGAAGAAAGTTGTCAATATTAAATTTTTCTAATTCTACAATAGGCTTTTTAGTTTCTGACACAGAGTGATTACGAACATCACGAGTATCTAAACGACATTGTATGAATACTTCCTAATAATGCTAAACTATTTGTACAAAGAAAATTAAGATTACAATTTTCTTTTAATACTAAGTAATATTCCATTTAAAAGTAACATGAGTATCAACATATAATCAGAACAAATATTATCTAATTCATTTTAATCTAAAAATAAATTAGCTGAAAAAAAATAGTTTCATAGAAATGAAAACCTATTTTACTCAGAAGCATAAATTACATATATAATTTTTATAAATATTTTATTAGACTTTTTTAAAAGCAAAACCAAGCATCTCACTATTCAAAACAGTTGAAAATGATTGACTTTAATCAATATTTATGAAGTTTAATTGAAAATTGAGTTTGTAAAGCATGAAAGAACAAAGGGTTTTTCTTTTGTTTCAAATTTTTATTTACATACACTATGGCGATTGTTCTAAAATAGTAAAATTTCACTGAGATTTCTACATCAACTAACTTCGAAAACTAAATTAGAAATTAAAAATTTGTAAAAACATCTCCTTTTTGTTCTTCATACGTAGTACTTTTACTCATTGCTTTCGTCGGATTTTCAAACTATTTTCAATTTCTTTGATGATTGTTTCTTCATGTTGTTGAATTTTAGTAATTAAATAATTAATAGTATCACGAATACGTTGAAGAGTTTGTTGAGAAACACGTAAAAAACCATTATTAATTTCATCATGGTTTGTTATCTGATAAATTCGACATTGTTTTAATTATTGTGTAAGATTATGCATTTGTTATGTAACTACTCTTCAGTGTTTAATAACGAAATATTTCACAGAATGTTGCACTATAATAATTGAGATAAATGACATGTGTCATAGAACTACATTGTGAACACATTGCAGATAAAGAATGATAATGAATAGAAATATTAGTAGTTCCAGTATTCATTGTTACCAATTGGTGTAAGATTTATTCAAAAATTGTTGAAATAAAAATTCCATAAAAAATTTATTTTTGCTGTGTACATTGTTTTTCTTCCTGCATTCTTTGATTAATAATCGATGACTAATGTTTTACTCTTATACTATATGATTTATAATTCTTCTCGTTAATTTCTAAGATGGTTACAGAGATAGTATATAAAACAAAGGATTATCAACAAGAACGATTAGCAATTTTTTTATTTAATTAATAAATATTCAGTTTAGACATATTTTCATCTTTTAGAAAGAATAAGTTACATGGGATTATTTGAATAATAAAAAAAAAACGATCAGAAAACAAAATGTTAAGTTTTCTTTTAATGAAAAAATGCGAATTCAAATACAGATCGTGTTTGTTGTGCTTTTTCATCTGTATCAGAAATAGTTTTTTTTCGTGGTGGCATTTTTTTGTCTGTTGAATCTATTGTGTCAATTGTTGGTGCTCTTGGTCGTCTATGTTTTTTTCCAGGATAACTAACGGGAGGCGACTTTTCGGATGGACTAGGTTTCCTATAATGTGCTATTGATGATGATCGGTGACGCGAAGGTGAATCGCCATGACTTCCATCAGTTGTTTTTACATTTAAAGCTTTTTGCATCCAATGTAATACCGAATGACTACGTTTTCTTGGCGGTGTCTTAAGTAAATAAATAGACTAAAACATATAACATGACTATGATTTTAGGTACTATCTTACGGATGTAAACGATGATGATGGTTGTGACATATCATTTTGGTCTATATCATGCAATGGATGAGACACATGCTCATCAGTTAACTGACTTGATGGATCATGAATGTGATGTATAGCCATATTGGTTTGTAATTCACGTTTCTAGATCAACTATTATAAAAAAAGTAGTTTATTAAAAAAATAAGAAAAAGCTGACAATATTATCTCTATATATACTTAGATAAAAACATGAGATATTGATAAGCATATGACAAAGTGTTACATGTCTCTACGTTTAATAATATGAAAAGACACTTTGTTTTTTTCTCCATATGATAATAAAGAATAAAGGGCGTCTAAACAAATTTTGATATCCTTTCAAGTCATTTTCTTTTCTTCTATGTTTTTTGAATAGAACAGGATGATATTTACAGCATATATACTAGACATTTGTATTTATTCTACAATAGAATTTGAACTTTGTACCTCGTACAAAGACACAGATACAAGTAACGCCAAATTCACAGAAGCTTTTTCAATAACTTTTACGAATAGCATGAATTAACGAAAACTTTTAGTTATTCGACCAATCTCCCATAACGAGCAACTTTTAGTTTTCTGCGTATTAGTCATCTGTTCAGTCATTTATTCACGTGATTATCAACAGCTTAGTACCAGTTTTTCAAGATGATCAGAATAGCAAACATCGAACAGTTATGATGAATACTATTGAATCTTTATTTGACGAATGCATTGATCCTCAGGTAGACGATGCAAAAATTTGCTGATATTTTACCAGTCGAAATAGTTTGGAGTGCAATAAAAGATAAAGTGAGAGAAAAAAAGCTTTAGAAATGAATCAGAGTTGCAAAATTAAGTAGGATAAGAATAACAAATGTCGACTACTGCAACATGTGACCGAATGATGAAAAAATTACGGAGTTGATTGAAACGAGTAATAGATAAATATAGAAAGCAGATACATAAACATTGGTGCGTATTTGTTTTCTTTTTGTGTTTAAAGCATTTCAATTTGTAAATCCAATTCAAACAACTAATCTTTGTTTTATTTAGTATCGCTAATAAAACGGCGAAAAACGGAATTTTACAAAAAATTCAATTAAACACAAATTGTAGCGTAGAGTAAATCTTGATATCTATCAAATATACTATAAATATCAGCCAATTATACTGGAAAAATATATAAGAAAAGAATATTATTTGAAAGGGGATCACGACTTATTAGATACTCATTAGTGAAAGTTACGAAAGAATATTTGGACCTAATATTAAAAGTAAACATGATGATCAATTTAATAAATGAAAGGAAATGAGCGATATCTACTGGTAAGCGTTTTATTTGCTTATTAACAACTTCCAAACAAATATTCATTCGTTATTCATCAATCTATTCTTTTTTTATTATTAACTATGGGTGCAAGTCGTAAAACCCGAAAAGTAAAATATTCATCTCAAAATTCACATCGACATTATGATCAACAAAAATATTGGAATGATCGTTATACAGCTAAATTTAAAGGAAAAACTATCGATGAAGATGATGATCATACAGATGAATGGTATTTTTCATATTCAGATATTTCAGATGTATTAAAATCCTATATAAAACAATATCATCTTCATTCTCCTGTACTTGATATTGGTTGTGGTTTATCAAAAATATTTGACGAACTGTCCAATGATCATTTTATTGGTCCATTTATTGGTGTTGATTACTCTCCTATTGTTATCAAACAATGTAATAAGATGAAGAAAAATAATAATTCTTATTATTTAACCGTAGATATGATGCAAAAACACAAACCTTCTTTACCAATCAATTCATTTGGTTTAATAATTGATAAAGCAACAACAGATGGAATTCTTAATAATAATGAGCATCTATCTAGTATTTCAACTATGTATGAACATGCATCAAATTTTCTTTTATCGAATGGACTTTTTATTATTATTACAATTAAAACAATTGATGACAAAGAATGGTTTGAAGATTGTTTGATACCATCTCTTATTCGAGGTAGTCAAAATCAGCAAACAAAATTTATTATTCATTTTCATCGATGTATGACGTATACAGATGGAACTGAAAATGGTCCAAATATTTTTGTTATTGTTAAATACGATTGTAAATCGTATTCATTACGCTCATCAACAAATCAAGTAAAACAGGGATTATCTCAAACAGTAACTGTTAAATGTTACTAGTCATTTTATAAAAAAATACAAAACACAACGAGAAAAATATTATTTGGTTAATAACTGAATTTCATTGTTTTCATTATGATTTTAATTTTAAAAATAAAATATCAGTCATATCACAGGTCTACATAAACCTAATTTGCGTACACCTCACTTATTCATAACAGGTTATGAACTTCTCAAGTCAACATGTACTGGTGCACTCTGTTTTGTTAGTCTTACTTGTCTCTCTATTACAGCATGTATATTTATTTTCTTATATACTAATGTTCAGATGATAATTGGATGGAAGTAGAATATTATCGTCAAATGCAAGTACAGAAATTATTTATACCGAAATAAAATAGCTGAAGGATATATTTGTTGATTTAATACTAAATGCATTTGCTAGAAAGAAACAAAAAAGAAAACATTAGCATTTTATAAACTTGTATTTTTGAGCAAGAACATTTTGAATGTACATGTGTGATGAACCAATAGACAAGGACATATAGTCTTGTCATATGATGACAAAATAAGTTTAAATTAAGTAATATTAGATTTCGTCAATGGTTCATATAAGTTACTAACAATCATAGATAAGAAAGTGCTAACAGTTATTAATGAAAATCGGTAAAAACACTTAATACCGAAATGGACAATAAGCAATGCAGTCACAAGTTTATAGTTACTCATCATTGTGTTCAGTCAAATACACGACGAAAAAAATTCTTATCTTTCAGCGGCAAAGGTACACCGCTGATTTGTCGGAGATTTGGATCTGGCTTACAGCAGGCTCAAAAACCAGAGCTTTTAATTGTCCTGGACAGACAAATGAGCAAGTTCGACAGTCTGCTTTGACATCTGATTCATAAGCATTAATAAAAACAGAATTTTATATTTTTATACATTCAACAGATAATTTAGTGTTACATTTCGCTCTTGTTGCTCAATGTTCTTCGAATGAAATCAAGTTTTCAAAGCCTTCTATTAAATTGAATTTGGATGATTTCATTGTGATAATAATGATGTATTTTGTCAATACTGTGTTCACAAAAATATATTCAAAATAACAGCTGATGATTTATTCTTTCAGAGTGGTGAAAAATATGATATTAACTTGACTTATGTTGACATCGATTTTTGTTTTAGTTGCTGGATAGAATAATGATTAACAGAGAGTTTGAAAAAACTGTACATGAGCTTGTCATCGAATGTGAAAGTGTAGTTTAGCAATAGGCGTTTCTGAAAAAGCACATATACGCATTATATCGAATGCTAATAATTTTTTATATAAGGAAGGCTTTACTCTAAAAAAAAATTTCAATTCCACTTAAGTTTTTTTTTCTCAGAAAACAAAACTTGTCAATGTTCAGTTTCCTTGCTTATTTTGATGCGGCTGTGAAAAATACGATCAATGTTTAACCTATTACCCTCCAATGATTATTGAAGTGACTATTTATAAATTGATTACAAAAAAAAAACTAAACGATGCATAGAATTTCACAGCGTCAATAACTTGTATTGTAATAGACTTCATTAGCTATCGATTGTTAAAAATGAGTATTTCATTCCATCTTCAAAATATCACACTAATAAAATCGATAATTTTGAAAAAGGAAAAAAATTGAATTCTTTTTGAATAAATTATTCTCTACCATCAATAAGTAAAAGTATCTAGGACTTATTTTGTGAAATGAAGAGGCCTGCTATTAATTAATATAAGTTTCAAAGATTCTGCGATAGGTTAGCAAATTATGAACAATCAAAAATAGAGTTAATGTATATATTGTAAATTTCATCACATGAGAAGTTGAAATAATAAGGTTTTCAGTAGTTATACGATTCCTCAAATGCAAATAGGTGACTGTTGGACAATATTTCAAATGTATTCACTCGCTTCTCGAATACCATGGATTATGAGCTGCTTTTAGTCATTCAATACTGCTATGAAAGAAAGAAAAAATTAGGTCTCCTCTTTTCTACTACATATTCACTCGATTAACCCAAGGGAGACACTCGATGCATACAACTACACCATTAGCACATCTGAGTGACTAATACTCTATTTATAAGATTTTATAATGAGTAGTTTTTGTGGGATCGCTGTAGAAAGTACAGAATTGAGGTTATTACTAAATTGATTGAGTAAATTTTTCTTATTTTCTGAAATTTTTTCAAGATTATTACACAACATGAAGACTAAATGTCGAAAGCTTTGGTTTTTCTACTAATTTAACTTCAAAGTTTTTTGTTTTTAATAAAATATTCATTATTCTTAATGAAAACTTTATTCTACAGTAAAGCATGTATTTATCCAAACAGAAAAATAATAATAAGATCTATCTACATGAATAATGAGATAAATAGAAAAGAATGTAGCATAAATTGAAAATTGTTTTGATTATCATTTTTAAGCAAACAAATTGAATATTGCAACTATAACAAAAACAAAACCAACAAGTATACAGAAAAAGAAAAACCGATTTTAAGATGTACAATATGTCAATATTCTTTGAATTTTGCTTGTTATCACTGTCTAGGACGATTCGTGTTGAAAGACATTATCAGTCGTACAAAAGCAATAGCAAATAAACAATGTACATAAAGCACAAGTAGAGAAGAGGAATGTTGAAAATTTCGTTTCATATTTTTTTCGATTTGTTCAACTCAATTTAAGAATGTCATCAAATAATGCTTTTGCTGTACGAGCGATACTAACAGCATGTTCATTCATTTTATTATAATTTCGTTGTCGAGCAGTTTCAATTAATGAAACAACTAAAGTTGAAAAATGATTATAACGCTGTTCAGACTAAAAATTAAAATTGTAAATATTTTAATTCAATAAAATATTAGAAAAGAAAGTATTAACCATTTCTTTAATTGATGTTGGTGCATAATCAAGTGTTTGTAAAAGATCACGAACAGCAATAGCAATA